GTCTGTTTTGGAAAAATAAATCATGGCAAGAGTCAAGTACTTTCTGGAGCAGTACAAAGAACCAACCATTTTCCAAGTATCTTTAATGAGTTATCATATATACAAGTTCCAAGGGTACTTTAATGTTGGGTACTGGTTAACAAGTTTATCTCAGTAAGTTAAGTGCCATACGTGATACACATTTGGGTGATCATGTATCTTTCAATACATGACTGAGGCAGATTTTTCCTGCAGTAGACTGGTTGACAACCAAAGCTAAAGAACCCAGTCTGTCCTGCTATTTAACCCATGTCTGGGGAAAAAAAGAGATGGATTCATACCTATCCCAAGAGTATTTGTGTGCAACAAACTCAACTGGAATTCAAACTCAGCTCTCAGAGTTCTCACTCCGAGCTGATGCCCATTAACCCCCAGTAGATCAATTAAAATTAAGCAGGGAGTTCACTGGGCATCCTCCACTTTCGGCCTTGTGCCACAGTTAAGCTACCTTTAGAAAATCATAAAAATACTTACTGGCACTTTTGTGTCAAAATAATATTAGCTCAAGCCCCTAGGGGTAGGGCAACTTCAGGCAGTACCTCTTCTTTGGGAAGGGGCTTGGTAGAGTTGGTCAGTTTGGCAATTTATGTTTTGGTATCGGTTTCCATTTTTTTTTTTCTTTCCTTGATACCGCGGTTTTTCGGTTTTTAATTCAAGTACTTTTGCTTTCTAAGGAAGCCATTCATTTTCTTGTGTAAGGATAGCATTTCCCGTCAACATCTGTTTTTATTTGAGATTGATAAATTTAAAAATTAGTCTGTTCAACTCACAATTTCTGGTCCAATCTTAAAAATATTCATATGGCTGGAAAGAAAATGAAATAATCTTTCTAAATATGTAATTTGTATGTGCTTCTGTTCATTGAATTATTTTTTACAGCACGTTAAAACGGTATTTTGCTTTGAACAGCCGAAAATGTGAAATATGATTTTTTTTCTGAGACTAAATTTTACATGTTTTACTTTGCTTTACAAAATCAAAGTGACCAATCTTTATCAATATTTTTGAAATTGTACACTCAATTAGAAGACACCTTAAACTACAACCAGGAAGATGTTCATTTATTCTCTGACCCATGGAAGCAAATTCCTTCAAAAATTATAAAGTAAGCAACAAAAAAAGAAAAGAAAAAGGGATTAACTGAAAGACCACTGGAATTAAAAACCCGAAAACTGCAAATCAAGGTGGGTAATAAAGTAGGGATTGGTCACCTAAAGTCCATTTTTAGGCTTTAAAGGTAATTTAGTCATAGAATTCATGATTTGGGTTTAAAGTTTATTAAAAATTTTTGAGATTTAGGGTGAACCTGAGTGACAATAGACGGTCAAGGCAATTGAGAGTACAAACATTCATCATGAATTCAGGGCCTGCATGTTACTACTAGCTTGATCTTAAAGTTATTGAATGTTACAAGCTAGTTTTTCCCCCCATTGAGCTGTTAGTGCTCGATTAGAGTAGAGATCAGCTGCCAGGCTCTGGCTGACTTGATTTTTTGGAGGTGCACCCATAAACTGTGGTATCATTTGCACAGATATTTATTAACGATCTAAGAATGTTTCTAGGCAGATTTTTAATATGAAACCAAAAGTGGTTGGTCTGAGGAGGGAACTTCAGAAGACTGGTCATTAACAATGACTTTCATGAACCTACCCAAGAGGAAGGTCTTGATAATTGCTAAGAATTTGCCAGAGATACTATAACTGGAGAGTTTGTGAAGCCATACCTGTGAGCTTTACTTCATGGAGATTAAATTATGAGTGGTTGCTGAAAAGTTATCAACCAGACCTGCATCCTAAAATCGGCTCACATGACCAAATATAAGAATTTAAAAAAAAAAATCATTTCTTGGTTAGGCTGAGAACTTTTCCCCTCGTATGTTTCAGTTTTCAAGAATGGGGAAGATTCTGTACAGAATAATTACAGTATTTATTAAAATTTTTGGTGTCCTAATACTATTGAGGAACACAGGAAAGCTGAATTGATTCCTTTCTGGGAATGCCAAGCACATGACTTTTTGCTAAATTTGGTTTATCCCAAGAAAGAATCTCATACGGACACTTATTTACGCTGACTAAGAAAATAAGCATAACTGCCTTGAGGTCATAGCTTCCGAAATTCGTGTTCTTGATTGTATTTTTGAGGCACACACACACACCCATCATACATATATATTTTTTCTATCTGTCTTGCCTGAGGGAATAAAGGTTCTTATTTTCGCACTACAGTTGCCAACCGCCTGACGATTGCGTAAAAGCATGAAGCAAACAGTAGTGGTTGGACACTGTATGCCTGAAATTTAATTTATATATATGTGTGTGTGTGTGTGTAGACTAAGATAGATTCAAAGAGAATGAGATATGAACACAGAGTAAAACAAAGAGGTGTAAACAAATTGGGATGGAGAGACATATGTGAACAAAGTGAGATAGATACAGAGATGTGAAAGATGAAGATGGCTAGAAAGATAAGGACAGATCAAAATGGATAGAGAGATGTGAACAGATATCAACAAACATGAATCTTCTCCTTGATATGCAGATTTTACAAGCATATGAATGTACTAACAGTTCAGGTTAGAAAGCAGAATCAAAAAAAATATCTGGGTTTCTTGTCTTAATTTTATCCAATGTCTTGAAAACTGATTCTTGCACTACATGTAATGAGGGAGGTGGTGATGCAAGGCTGGAATCCAGGCATTTTTCAAAATCTTTTCCATGAACTGTCCAAAGACAGGAACATGGCAGAGAGCTGAAGAACAGATACTACATTTTGATCCCAGCCTGAAGGCCAAAGAGTGCTGCACTCTGCTGAATCCTCTTTCAGGGCTGTTAAAACTTGGCTTATCACACTCCTCATGGCATTTCAGTAGGAAATTTATCTTTGAATTTGAGCCAGAAATTATAAGAAGTCAAACTTGAACAATGATACAATTTTTATGCATGCAACATGAAGAATACAGGGTGTCCCCCCAAAAAAAATTGACATCATTTAAAATGTGTATATGTGAGTAACTACATGTCCCAGGTAAACGAAATTAAATAGGCTTCATACTGAACAATAAAAGATTTATTTATAAAAAAAAATCAAAACAAGATATTCTAAGGGATGTAGATTTTATAACTGATTTCACAAAGCACCACCTATGTGACACGACACATATCAAGTCAGTAGTCCAACTCCTGCCAAATGTGATGTAGCATATTTTGTGTAACTTTCTCCAGTGCCTCAGTTATTCCTTGCTTAAGTTCCTCTAGGCTTGTAGGAAGAGGGGGGGGTATAGACCTGTCCTTTCATATAGTTTGGTTTGTTTTGTTTTATGGCACATCAACCTCAATGGGTCATTTAATGCTGACAATTTTTTTTTTTTTCCTGGTAATACTTTTGTTTTGTCAAAAATTTATTAATATTTTTTTCCTCAAAAATGTATAGCTGGTAATATTTTTTCAAAAACGTATAGCTGGTCATACTATTTTTCCAAAATGTACAGCTGGTAATATTATTTTTCAGAAACGTTTTGCTGGTAACACTATTATTTTAAAAAAGAAAACATATAACTGGTAATATCTTTTCAAAAATGTACAGCTGGCAACATTATTTTTTCAAAAACATTATCAGAGGCCTTGCTGTTGGACGTAGTTTATCGTCATACCTAGGATGCGGATGGAGTTTATCCTCACACCCAAGACGCTTTCATATAGTCCCATATAAAAAAAAAATCACAAGGTATCAAAGTCAGGTGAACATGGTGGCCATTTCAACAGCACAAAGGTCATTATCACTGGCACGCCCAATCCATCATCCTGGTAGATTCACAATCAGATAAGTTTGCACAGTCAACTTAGTTTTTACACATTTTGACATCATTTGTGCAAGTATTGGCCATGTTATTAAACTACAAAATGATGCCAATTTTTTTTAGGACACCCTGTATATTTACATTATTTACATTTGATCTTCACCTTTGTTGTTATTATCACAATCTTTTATCCATTTTACCCTCTGGTTTTCATCAGGCACTTGATGAGCCAGGTAAACTTTAGGGAATTTCAAAATGAACCCTTTATTTAATTTACAGGAGTAGATCATTCTCATTTCACAGCCATGTCTAGTGGATATCCTGTCAAGTTCTTATTTTCTACCACTCATTTATTGCTCACCTTGTTTATAGAGTCAAAATATACACTGCCCAGCCTAGAGATTGAACTCGAAATTACTGTCACCAAATTCATGAACCAATATTTTAATCCACCAGGCTATTGTTCCAAAGAACATACTTTCCCTCAAATAATTTTGACACTAATTTGCATCCAATAGAAGAACCGGCCACAAGGTAGAGGATGACTGAATGAGGAGGAACTAAACGAAGGCAATGAAGAGGTTAAGATTGTAGTGTTTAGGGAAGCACACACATGGGAGTCTGTTCCACAAAATAGCAATTCTCAAAAGCTGTCTGGATGGAACTTTCTTATTACAAGTAGAATACAGAGGAAATGAGGAAGATTCAACCCTGCTGACATTGCAAGTTGCATCTTAGGTGTAAAGGTCTGAACTGGCAGTACTAATGAGACAAATTTAAAATACATATCAAGTCAAATGAACAAATTGGTAGTTGGTGTTACTTGAACAATGCACCAAGATATATGATATGGTACCATGCACATTAAGCCAAGGGTCACAACAGGGCAGGGATTTCTATGTCCATCTAATTAAAGTATTAGGTTTACTAATTCAGTGTAATTTATATGGCCTTGACTATAATTATAAAAGGTAACACACAGTTGATTATTACAATGAAATTTAGTCAAATTACACAGTGACAGAAACTGAGTGAAGCAAAAGAAAGATGAAAGGTGAGGAAGAAGTTGGAGGTAACAAAGTTGCAAGGGAAAATGGAAAGGGAAAGATGGAAATAGATTAAGATGATGGAAATAGAAAGATAGATGAGAAGAAAAGGAAGATATTTAAAAAAAAAAAAGAAGGAGGAGAAAAAAAAGGTCAAGAGAAGGCTCACTAAAAAAAAAAGGAAGGAAGGAGAGAGAAAAAAAAGAGATGGTCAAAGAATAGAAGAAAGACACAAGTAAAGAAGAAGCAAAAAGGACAGAAAAACAAAGAAGAAGAAAAAGAAACAAGTCAAAAGAAAATAGATGAAGAAAGAAGAGAGGGGCCAGAGAAACGAGCTCAGAAGAAGAAAGAGCACAGAAGAAGAGGGGAGAGAAACGAGCTGAGAAGAAAGAAAGAAGCAAAAAAGAAGACAGAAAAAGAAAACAAGAAAGAAGAAAGAAAAGAGAAACAAGCTGAAAAAGAAAAAGAAGAGAAGACAAGGAGAAGAAAAAGAAAAAGAGAAAGAGAAAAGAGAAACAAGCTGAGAAGAAGAAGAAGAAGAAACAAGGAAAAGAAACAAGAGAAAAGAGAAACAAGCTGAGAAGAAGAGAAACAAGCTGAGAAGAAGAAGAGAGGAAAGAGAAAACGAGCTAAGAAGAAGAGAAGAAGAGAGGGAAAGAGAAACGAGCTCAGAAGAAGAGAGGAAAGAGAAACGAGCTCAGAAGAAGAGAGGAAAGAGAAACGAGCTCAGAAGAAGAGAGGAAAGAGAAACGAGCTCAGAAGAAGAGAGGAAAGAGAAACGAGCTCAGAAGAAGAGAGGAAAGAGAAACAAGCTGAGAAGAAGAGAGGAAAGAGAAACAAGCTGAGAAGAAGAGAGGAAAGAGAAACAAGCTGAGAAGAAGAGAAACAAGCTGAGAAGAAGAGAAACAAGCTGAGAAGAAGAGAAACAAGCTGAGAAGAAGAGAAACAAGCTGAGAAGAAGAGAAACGAGCTGAGAAGAAGAGAGGAAAGAGAAACGAGCTGAGAAGAAGAGAAGAAGAGAAGAGAAACTAGAAAGAAGAGAAACAAGCTGAGAAAGAAGAAATAGAAGAAGAAGAGAGGAAGAGAACGAGAAGAAGAAGAAGAAACGAGCTGAGAAAGAAGAGGGAAAGAGAAACGAGCTGAGAGAAGAGAGGAAAGAGAAACGAGCTGAGAAGAAGAGAAAAGAGAAAACAAGCTGAGAAGAGAAGAAAGAGAGGAGAAAAACAAGCTGAGAAGAAGAGAAACAAGCTTGAGAAGAAGAACGAAAGAGAAACGAGCTGAGAAGAAGAGGTGAGAAGAAGAGTGAAAGAGAAGAAGAGGAAAGAGGCCATATTCAATAAGAAGAGAGGAAAGAGAAACATCTTTCAAGAAGTTCTTCCTTCAGAAGAAGGGGTTACTTCCTAAGAGGTGAAAGAGTAATAGGCCATATTCAGGTTTATCAGATATGTCACAATCACTATTTTGAAACCTTTTAAACTACAGCTGACGTGTATGAGTTCCCATGCAAAATGAACCATTTAATTAATCATTTTCCTGTATTCCTACATTTCTTAGATTGCAGTCTTATTTGTTCAAGCCATTCATGTGAGGTACTCAGATACCTTTCTTAATTAATATTATTTTAACTTAGCTCAGTTAAAAAAAGTATTCAATAATCTCATTTAATCTTTCTGCCTCAATAATTAATCAAATGTATCCAAGCAAATTTGCTTTGGACAAGTGATCATGACAAAAGGCTAGCCAATTGAATTTATTCAAACATATAATCTTTGCTAAAATATCGGCAGATCTCCCTACTAAAATATTACTAACTCTTAATAGTGAAGGAAAGCAAGAAGAAAGGACTAAACATCAATTGTAAGAAGACAAAATGTATGGTTGTCAGTAAAAGGAACAGCCCAACAGGCAAATTATAAATTAGAGATACAAAACCAAAAAAGTATAAAAATTTAAATATCTGGGAAGCGTTTTAACAAAGGACAGAAAGTGGGACACTGAAATTCAAAGGTACAATTGGGATAGCAAAAGATGCCTTCCAAAGTTGTCTGTGATCTTAGTTTTTATCATTTTTTTTTTTTTTTCGAAAATGTTAAGTCTACTTCAACTCTATATGTATAACGTCTCTGCCTGAACTGCTTTTCACTAATTACTTTTGTTCTCTTCCCTCAATAGTAGTAGATAGGCTTGCCTACCATCTGATTCATATTCCTCTCCAATTTTTTGAACAAGAATAGAAGTTCATCCGTTATTTCCTGTTTAGGAAAGCGAAAAATGTCATGATGCCATTTCTGACCTTAGGTTTCTAGTTGGGACCCAGAAAGAAATCAGTAGATAGCAAAAATCAAAGAAAATAATAATAATAATAATAATAATGAAATAGCAGTAATAAAGACAGATCATGGGAAGAGTCGTATTCATTCTATTTATGAAGCTTCTCTTCAAATAGTTATTATGTAATTAATAATAGAAGATACTAAGGCTAACTGAAGAGAAAAAAAAAAGCTCATTCCACTGATGGACCAGTAGGAGATAAATTACTATATAAATACACAGACAGATCATTTTGTAACAGTCTCCCACCCACCATCCGAAGAATGCATCAAAAATATTGGTGGCGGGGAAGAGAATAAAACAATGTATCAATATATTCCCATGAAACAAGACACAACCAGGAATAAATCTAGAACCTTAAGACCTTTAGTCCATTTCTCTCTCAACTGAGCTTATGAGCCAGATTATGTCCATCATATTTATTTCTATAAAGGAAACAGAATGCAAATGGAGCTGCTTACCACTACTGATAACAGTACCCTACGCCATCAGACAAAGAGACAATGTGCTGTGTCTGCAGAAAGAAAGCCAATGGCTGCCCTGCCAGAACAGAGTCGGGGCAACCCTCAGGATATCTGGTTTGGAAGCTTCCCCATGGAATAGCTGGGAGTCGTAGCATACTCCTGTATTCCAGATACTTAGAGGCATTGTCGGGTGACCAGTTTGATTTCGAGAGGGCTTTGTTGTACGTTGTGTTATGGTGATCAGGCGTCTGCACTATGTCTGGCAGCACACCATGTTGACCGCATAATGGGATTGCCGTGCATTACCAAAGATTTCTGTGTTACCCAGCATCATTTGAAATTTGTTTGTCATCTTTGTGTTTCCAATGTCTTGGCTGCATTCATCCTGTATGTGTAATATTCCTGTATGGAAGTCTCTTTATTATTGTTCAGCACCTTTAGTGTTTGATATGGTGCTGTTGATTTTTCTGTCCATTTTCATTGGCAGATACCCAACCAATAAGATTAAATCCTATAAACATGAAAATTGTACTCATCTCTTCATTAACATGAGTCGAGTTCATATTAAATAGTCAACTATAAAAAGATTAAATGTTGTTAGAGTTGAAATACATTTTTAAGCTTTTCATAGCATCTACTTGCATAAGTAAAAGTTTCCAATAATCTATTTCTCTTAGACATATAGAAATCTATGACTTGGGCACTCCAAGGCGGTGTAATGGTTAGCAAGCTCGCTAGAACAATTACAACTGAATAGCGAGTTTGATCCTCACTGGGTGCCCAATACTTTCAGCCTTATGCCACATTTAAGCTACGCTTGGAAAATCACTATAGAAATCTATGACTTTCATATAAATATCAACATTTTTTTTTTACAATTTTGTTCATCCTGTACAAGGCACGAAAGCCATTCTAGGTAGAGGCTTACAGAGTAAGAGGCACAGTTTATAGGAATACTAGCAGACTTCACCCGCTCGCTATCGCTTCACAAAGCAAGATATTCACTACTTGAAATCTTTGAAACAAAAACTTTAAATAAACATTTCATTCCTAAATTGGCTTTTGTTATAGTTAAGGAAAGTTTTACAAACAGATGCCAACTTGTTGAAGCTCAAGTACAATGCAACACTTTTCTGCACTATATAATATTCCTAAACAGAACTATTTTTGATAAATCAAAACAATCCTTGAATAAAAGAACAATAATGAAAGACAGTTAATTAATAAAATAAACTTTTGTAAAATCAATATACAAATTAGTTAAAGCTGAAGAGTGATACCACCTAGAAGTAAATATATAATACAGATATTAAGCTTTTAGTGTATAAGTAGTTTTTGTATAAGTAGTTTCGATGTTTACTCGTTCCCCCACTAGAACGAGTTTCAGTGTGTAAATCCTTGGAGGGATTTCGCATTATTTATTATCTCTCAGTTGCATCTCTGTCCTTGGACATAGTGCACTCAGGAGCGACTCTGTCAAAGGACAGAGTTGCAAGTGAGGAAAATTATACTGAAGAGGTGCCCAGCCCTGGGGAACAGCTGCCCGAGGACGTGCCCTCCAATTGCACCAGAGGGAGGGATCGGTGTTCGCACTGAGGCCAGCGCAACCAATGGTTGTGGGGGTGAGAGCAATTTTTGACCTTGTTTCACATCTCGTCCAAGTGGGGGGAAGAAGTTAATACATGTAGTTTCTAACATATTACTTATCTCTCAGTTGCATATGTCTTTGGGCAGAGTATGCTCAGGGGCTACTCTGTCAAAGGACAGAGTTGCAACTGAGGAAAATTATAGAGAGGTGCCCGGCCCTGGGGAACAGCTGCCTGAGGCCGTGCCCTCTCATGGCACCAGAGAGAGGGATCGGTGCTTGCACTGAGGCCAGCACAACCAATGTTTGTGGCGACTGTGGGCAATTTTTGTTCATTGCCCAGGTGTTCACGCTTGGGTCCCCACCTTAAAAAAAGACTTTGCATCACTTCTCGTCTCAGTGCGGAGACAGAGTAAATACAGTGTGTAAATTACTATAAAGTATAGCTGGGGCTTTTTAATCTCAGAATTTGTGAAGAATTGAGCAACAATTTCACATTTATTCATATATATTCCATAATATAGCTATTATGTTTCTATAACTCTTATAAATTGTCCCTTGCTCTGTCACTCATGAATCAAAAATAATTGTTTGAAGGGAAAATAAGGATCTATGTACATCAAATCATCTTTAACTGGCAGCAGAAGAATTATTGTTGAACTTTTAAAAAGGTAAGCTTAAACAATAATTCAATATTTAAATGCAGCGATCAATTTCGAGTTCTTCTGTAGTTTATTGATGCCTATCGCATCTACTCCTCCCTAGCTGTTATTATGATGGCCAAACCAAGAGTCCTCCACAGGAGCTAGCTTAAATTTAAACTAGCTTAAAATATTAAGCTAGCTGCAAATTTGGATTCAAAAGGTAAATAGAAATTACTCCCCTTTGAACTATGAAAGCAATGATAACAGCTAGTATAATATATTAATATATATTTTTGACCTCACATAATCTAGCAACCCTGAATCTGAGCTTAACAAAAATTGTTCCATGCGCCTAACTTTTCTAGGACTTTTGAATGAGCTATGAATCATTGAAGTTGGGCGAGTGGGAGTGGAGGAGTTGCTTGGACACACACACACAAACACACACACAAACACACATACACTGTACTTTATATATGAGATGTGGGAAAGATAACAGTTAAGTCTAGACTTGAACAGGTTAAGATTGTAGTGATCAGGGAAAACATTGTCTTGGGAGTCAGTTCCACAAAGTTTGTAAGACCCATTATGCTACACAAGGTGGGTCTTAGCCATAAAGGTTAGAACTAATGGAAAAGGAATGTAGTTTGTTTGAACACTTTCTATGGAAATGGTAGTAGAGCAATGCAAAGCTTGCAACATTTCATCGGTCAGAAAGCATTTTCAGAGTGGAAAAGAATTCATCACCCACAAGGATGTGGAGATAGTTTTGGACTCTGTGAAGACTAGACAGTTCCTACCCATATATGGCAGTAGTACTCCATTTCATACCTTTAGAGAATAGCAGGAGGTGTCGGGTACTTACTGGAGCAGTACAGAGAACTGACCATTTTTCCAGTATCTTCATTAAATGGAAAATACACAAAATTAGAAGACAGAGAAATCAACAAGTGAGATGAGACGACAGAATGACAGGGAGATTGGGGGGGGGAGAGAAAAATGAGAGGGTAAAGTAAACTGGTGAAGAAAAAAAAAAAAAAAAGGTCCTGATGTCTGCAGTAAATACCAGTAGAACTATACAATTTCTTGATATAAAGTGATCATGCAGGCCGATAGCAGAGAAAAATGTTTTTTGGGGGGCAAAAAAAATTATAATTTAACCTTAAGTTATCAAAGGCCGCCAATATAGTTAGCAGCAAGAATATTTAAAATTTCCAGTCCCTCTAGATTGGCAGAAATCATCTTTGAAATAATAGAGAACTGTCCGTGTTTGAAATGAAAGAACTTTTCATCTTTTTTTGAATGTCTACAGGGAAAATATAGATTCATTAATGAAGGAAAAATTTTTTTTTTTTTTTTTTATTTGGGCCTAAAAGATAAATAAAACAACTACAACAAGAACATTTTAAACTATTGTCCAGTCTGTTTTCCAATACTGCATATTTTAGTATTTTGGTGAAGATCAAGTCTTGAAAATTTCCCAAATAGGTGACTTCAATGCGATTTCCTTTTGGAAAATGAGTTTGCAGCTTATATTACATGGATTGAATCAGTCGCATCTTTGTGTACATGCATTACCATCAAAGCGCCAAATCACTTTTCACCCATAGTTGATCATAAATTATTTCACTTTCAGTGTTTATAGCGGGCGGTAAGAGAATGAGTTGGATGAGCTTTAAGACTTTACTAATAATATTTCCTTGTGCTGCCCTTAGCAATCTAACCTTTTCAAATATTGTTGCAAGATTTGCATTTGTGCTATCAATCTTCAATAAATTGGGTAAAAGTTTGAGCTGGATATTAAGAATAATTTCTTATGTCTCTCGTTGTTTGGATTTTCTTCATGCAAAGCCTTCAATAGAACATTTTTCATTGTTCTATATTCTACAAAAGTCAGATTGGTCAAACTTGTCAGTAATAGATGTTGTGACAAAATCATATGCTTCAAAGAACTTTGTTCTGTGCATTTCTTTTGCGGAGGGAAATTTCTGCTCATTTGCTTGCACGTAGCCAAAGAAATCAGTCAGATGTTTTGGATGTTTCTGTTTGCTTAAAAGTTCTGCATCATTGATGTCAAGTTTTGTCTTTTTAGAAACGTATTCCCGAAAACAATTGAATGATGTATCATTCCTTTCTTGCTGTAAATTTTGTAAAAAGAAAACCTGTAAAAAATATTACAATTGGTAAAAATTTGGTGGGGAAGCCAAGACCCTCTTGGCTGCTACTGCCCTGTCATGTGTGAGGAGCTCTATTAAAACTGACCATGTGTTACATTTGCTTTCAAGAAGCGATAAACATAAAAGTCTAACATGGGGGAGGACCTACTTAAAAACTGTGTGTACTTCATTCCTTGCATTTGTGGCAAAGACCATGAAGGTGAAATAAACTACCCACTCAAAGTAATGTGAGTTGTGGTGTAATGGATATCGACTCAGAGTGAGAACTCAAAGAGCCGAGTTCAAATTTCAATTGTGTTCATTAGA